ATAGGAGAGTGGATGAGATGGAGTAAGGATGTCTGTGGCGAAGGAGATGGAGAAGTAGAAGAAGAAGGTGAAGAAGAGGAAGTTGACAAGGTTCTCGATGATCGGCTCTCTCATCATCTCAGAATTTTCGTAATGCTTCCAAATCTACAGATGGTATAAATAAAGTTTGAATCATAGTGGTTGGGAACTGAAAAATTGACTAATCTATGATCATAATTTCCCCGTAACTGATCGGCTCTCACATCATGATTCAGATTTGTTCAAGCATACATGAATCAGCGCGTAAGCATCAGTGGACCATTGCAATAAATTGGGAGAAAGCTGATCAACAATGGCGGAACTAAATTAAAATATCTTCACCGTTTTGGTCTTGCTGTTGGCTCATATTTCTATCTTTCCTGCTCAGGCAAAAACACCAATATTATTATTATTATTTTTTTGATTTGTTTGGTACGGAATATCCATATAATGTCACCTCCGAAATGTGTTTAACGGCATCGCCCAACTGCAGTCCTTAGACCACCACTGTTTGGCTATGATTTTTTTAACCTCCAACTGCAGCTCTCCTTAGAAGAAGAAGGTGAAGAAGAGGATAATGACAAGGTTCGAGATGATCGGCTCTCTCATCATCTCCAAATTTTCCTAATGCTGCAAAAAGCGTTTAAATGTCCATAAATAAAATTTTAAAATGAAACTGAAAAAAAGTAAGTATTAATTTATAGATTAATTTCAAATAAATACCTGAATAATATTGTAGTAAAAAATAAAAATTTTATTAGAAAAGGAATAAAATAAAAAATTCAATAAATTTTAATGAGTTCTTTTCAACTATTAGGGCTGAGAGTTCAGCTTGAAGATGATAAATCAAGTGAGCCGAAAGTAAGGACCAGACTTTGTTTTGAGCTATTGCTGGAATTGCTATGAGTTCGTTTGGGGTAGTTTTCTTAATGCTTTTTAAAATAGTGTTTTAGTCAAAAAAAAAAAAAAATTGAATTTAAATTTTTTGTACTAAAAAAATATTTTAAAAAGTAATTAGAAAGCTATCCCAAACGAAGCCTAAGACTAACTTGAGATCAGCCTCACTTTATTTATACTATATTTCTTATTCTTATTAATATTTAGATAAAATTAATTTTCACAAAAAGGGATTGCTTTAAAAGGGATCAAATAACCATTAAGACCTTGACTAGAAAAAGTTGGTCGCATATTATTATTATTTTTATTATTATTTGCACATGGGCTGCTTGGTAATAAAGTGCATTGTGTTTTTTGAATATTCAAAGCGTTGATAATTTATTGTTTATAATTATTATTATTTTTTGGTTGAGGAGAAATAAGATTTTGTTTCATCCATTCATTTGATAGAGGAGAAATTTATAGTTAGTAATTTTGGGTTACCCAATCTTTTTGGTTGATGATAGACTGATGTTGATTTTATAATATTTTTGCGACATCAAAAGAGATGCTCGTAAGTGTGGCTTGAAATTTTGATTTCATTTGGGACAGTTTTCTTACTGCTTTTTAAAGTAGATTTTATTTTATAAAAAATTTTTGAATTAGAAATTTTGTATTAGAAAATAACGAAGCGACTGGAGAATAAATTGTAGATGTAGAAACAAACGAAGCCTTTGTTTCACTCTTTTTTGGTTGAACCGTTGAGAATAAATTGTAGATGTAGAAAAACAAAACCTTTGTTTTACTCTTTTATTATGCTTGTTTGAGTTATGTGACTCAAATGTATTATTCATTATTCTCTTGCATCGAGATTCGTGTTCGATCAAGATAATTTTTTGACGAGATATCAATATTATACAAAAATATAAATTAGTATCAAATTGTAAAAAAAGCATTCATTTTTCTTACTTTATATATAATAATAAATAAAATGATATTCCCATCAAAAATCAAACTTCTCGTTTATTTTAAAATAAATTCATTTTTCCTATTTTATGACAGACTGTAGTCGGCTCAAGGACTACGCGGCAGCTGATCAATCTTCTCTCTCTCAATTATTAGAGCCTAGCAGATCTATCTTCTCTCTCTCAATTATTACAGACATCAACTCTAATCTTCATCTCTCTCTCTCTCTCTCATATTTGAGGCTATCAACTCTAATCTTCATCTCTTCCAATCAATGTGATCCGTTTCTCCTACTGTTCAGTTGTTCTGCTATCTCTACCTCGATCTTGGTTGCCATGGAGGTGGCTGGATGGTTTGTTGGTCCGTTCATGAGCGAGATCATCAAATCTTGCTCTGATTACCTGAAAGATCAAATCAGATGGCAGACAGCCATGAAGGAGGAGCTTGAAAGGCTGCAAGAGAACCACCCGAAGATCAAAGCTGTCGTCTTTGCCGCTAACCAAGCACAAATTAGCGATCAGAACCCGGGTGATAGTGCCTCCTTCTGCAGGATCGACACCTGGAGCAAAAGCAGAAAACGAGATGGCAAAAAACAGAGCAGAAATGGGAGGAAGAAGAATACCTCTGTATTCTCAGCTTTCTATTACTTTGTGTAAAAATGCCAACTAACTCCAGCATCCGTTTTCTAGGATATATGTATTTTCCTATCCTTTTCTATAGTACTATATGTGGATAAAAAATAAAAAACTGTGCTGTAAAGTAATAACAGAAAATAGGGAAAGTAGTAGTGGTAAGTGTAGTAGTTGGTTAGAGCATATCTGGTGTCCGCCGGTGCACCGTAAGCAGACGTTGCATCAGTCCTCCCCGGCTTCCTCAGAGCTCGACTCCGACGAGCTGATTGAAATGATGGCGTCGTCTGCGGGCTTATATGGTGATATATCGGACACATTGAATGTCGCTGAAGTATTATTGTCCGGTGGTAACTCGACGCGGTAGGCATTGTCATTGATTTTGGCAACTATGGGAACAGGACCAAGCTTGCGCCGTGCTAACTTGGAATAAGTTCCAACCGGAAAACGTTCACGTCTGAGGCGAACCATAACCAAGTCGCCCACCTGGAAGACT